TCAAGACGAAAGATGGCGCACTTATGACCATTGCAACTATTAAGTGAATGATTGTCATCAGTGCTGATCACATGTTATGTAGATTTCTTCGTTGTTCCGACAAAATCTTTGTTAAGATCACAGGGAAAGTGTAAAAATAAGACAAACTTCCAAATGTGAAACTGAAACTACGAAAAAGACAGGTTCGTGTAAAACGTTGCTACGTCGAGTAAATTTGGCAACTGTAATTTTCAATTGATGTAATATCTGTTTGGGGAGCAACTATTTAGATTCTAGCAGTCACAGTTTCGATGCAAAAAAGACAAAAGGAAGAAAGAAAAGAAGAAGAAGGTCAGAATAACTACTGCTAGCAAATAATTGATAAACTAACAGTATTTAAATAAAAAAAGACAACCACGAATACACCCATGTGTACATATAATTCCTACCCAGAAATTATACCACTGTTGAGCAAATATTGCAAAGATTCAGAAAAACTAAAACATCAACATTAAAATATTGTAATTGCGTTTCCCGCCTTTTACGTTGCCATATTAAATTGCCACGTGAATTACACGATCTTGACAACAAGTTCGTTCAGTTGTGGATGGTCAGAATTTTACATGGACATTCCTTACTAGACGTTGTTATTATTTAACCATTCAAGCAATATGCATCATGTTTGACCTGCATATAAACTCAGAATTATATCGGATCAGGTACGTCTGGAAACAGTTACTGACAGACGACTTGTCGACAGGTCTCTTATTTTAATTATATTATCTCAAACCAATTTCAACACCAATTGATATCTCTTAATTGTTGTGGTATGTAGGTAATTCTCAAAGTACACTTAGTATTACATGTATAATACTCTGTTATTACAAATATATTTTTTTATTTCAAATTCAAGAACTTTATCTGATTTTATAGACTAGTGAACTCAAATAAATATTTCACAATGATATTTTTCTCTCCACACATCAAAAGTAGCTGGACGAAATATTCACCCCCGCCATGAGAAATGTGTATAGTTATTGAATCATTCAACCATGTTACCAACAACGTTGTAAGTTGGGTAATGCAATGGCCACAATAAACGTAATCATGATAGCACTATCGTATCGTCCTACGTAGTTGACCGCGACGTGGCAAGCTGAAGGTCACGTATACAGGTTGCCGATGTTAAATATCAATAGGTTCTTTAACAAACTAAAGTATTTGTTGTAAAAAAAAAGGTATTGACATTGCATAGTACGCTGGCCGAAATATCAATGGGGCGAATACTCTGAGCGCCATTCAGCTTTTAAGTATACATATTCAAATGGAGAACTACTTTGCAAATCGACGTTCAACATCTCGTGTTGCCTAACTCGTTCTGTGTCTCTGAGTAACATTCATTCATATCGGGACAACGTTGCGTTTTGTTGGGATTGAAACTTTACGGTAAAATTGGATGAGAACCTTCAAATGATACTATTGTCATGTTCAATAAAGGTTGCCCCGATCGACCGGACTGCAAGTTTGAAAGGCTTTAGTACTGGGATGTTGTGTAATTTTACAAGTAACTTATAAATTAAATGTACATAATTTTATGTTGTTCGAAACAGTAAACGCTTAGAAGAGAAAAAAAGTTGAAACATGATAACGTGCCTGTTTTTTGTTTTTTTTTCACATAAGTTTGACAGAAAAAAACTTACCTGCGCATAACAGTTGCGAAGAGTGGTACAATAACGTGTTATTCATGCCAGCAACAAACTCGACGAAGTTCTGCACTTGGAATTGAAGTGACGTCAATTGACTCCGTAAAACAGCGATTTCATTGCTCTGCTGAGTATTGTCTGTGACGAGCTGGCCTATATCAACTTGCTCCAAGTTCTGCAAGCAGGTCTGTCCAGTCTGGCGAGGTTGTGTGAAAATATATGCGCACTGGTTGTTCTGCTGACACCAGTTTGAATAATCGGTACAAGTCTGACCACGACATGGGTGATATAGCGTTACCACAAAGCAAAACACCAAAAAAGCGGCGTTCATAAGAGAATGCATTGTGATAATGCGAATATGGTAGCTGAAAACAGATATGAAACAGACTCAGCCCGGCACCACCAACGCCCTATGTGGAGTACCTTAAAGAACTTTTCTTTAGGTGATTGGACTGAAACACTCTCAGGGGGTGGCCGCTATTAAAATGTGGTACAGAAAGTAGAAAATATAGATGCTACAAAAGAAACTATAATATCGTCACTGACAAGATACGTGTACCTGGTACAAAATACTACATATCAGAACAAACATGATAATGTATATATGTATAATCTCATGGCCTCATCATCTAAATCTAGTCGACAAACAATAAACGTAAGCACCACTTCAAAAGATTCCAACAATCTGTAAGAAGATTCTTAAACCGAACAAAGTGCAACGCCAGAAGCAACTCCATCCACTATTAATTAAACTGACAGAGTTGTTGAAATCGTTTGATGGAATTACTGTTTCGTATATCAAAAGTTAAAAAATTGACCGTCTTTCAAATTTCGTTTTTGTGTTTGTTCATCGTTAGTTTCTTGACTGAAGCAGGTATGGTACCTTCAAGTGTACCGAGAGCTTTCATATGGAGATATGCATTGAAAACTGCAGTTCATTGTACATACACATACGCAAACACAGTGCAAATTCTTCGCACAAAAGTAGCTTTGTGTACCTTAGTACATTGTTTTCGACGGTCATTTTTGCAGGGCAATTCCCGAGACATGGGACATGAAACCACGTACAATACCTATAATAGGTGGGGGACGTAAGCGTGCTTGACGCTTGGTGATGCTATAGGTATCACCTCGATATCGAATCGGTGTGGTCGGTAGAAGCATGACAATATATATGATGTGACAATTTTGAAAAGCAGACCTTGACAGTGACATGGTTTATGCCCATTTAGCAACACGGATTAGTGTAAAGAGGCTTGTCAACTCAGCGAAGCCCTGCGCGTTGAAAGCACGGATGACTGTGAACAATTACCATAATAGTTAAAACTATTATAGTTTTGCAGATCAGAATAATAATGTGCTATGAGGCGTTTTTTCCATGGTAACCTACAATTCTCATGAATGGATGGATGTGAATGCCTGATTAAATGATCAATAATGCGCATACGTGGGGCGTGACATTTATACAAACACAGTAAAAAAAGGTAATTACCCTGTTCTATGTGTTTGACGTTCCTGTCCTTTTTTTGCGTCCGTAAAGAGAATTCGAATACTTAGCTTTTCGATTCCACACGGGCGTGTTTGCAGAATTCGACCGCAAATAGGAATGAATGCAAACTGGAATATTAGAATATCGAGTCCGCGAAAATGTTTCCAATCCCAACCCCTAACCCCTCCGTTACTGCTATAACCCAAATGTCAAGGTGAACACGGGGCTGACTACAAATTACAAACGTTCGACGTTGAGAGCTCGTTTCGAACAAATGATGTGCACACATGATAAGCGGTGAATGGTCCAAACATGAATGGGGCGAACAACACACAAATGTCATACAATTACTTGTATACGAACTCAGACAATAACCGTATAATAATACTAGAAAAGACAATGCCAAACAAAAAATAATGTAATAGACAACTGTTTGAAACATAGTTGACAAATACACGTCAAGGCGTGAGAGAAAAAACCAAGCCCAACAAAGTTATGTATCTGTTCAAACAAGGGAGGGGGGTCTTTTCAAATATTTGCCAACGAAGTTCTTGGCCATTATTCAACCCCAACAAACATCACTGTCACGAAGATTAGTGGTCACGGTGAACCATGAGGGTATAAACCTCTTTTCGAACGATGTGTGTTATTTAGAGTATTCAGCGACTTTAAGTTAGTCAATAATACAGAATGAAGTACATGTTGCACTGAAACATACAGCTAAAAGTGGTAAACACTGTCAATTCAGCAACAACAAAAAATATCATAAGTTTGCTCTAGTAGTATTTCAAAACCTCTTGACACGGTTTGTACGGTACTTAAACTTGAACATTTAGGTCGGGTTAATGTACTACTCGGTTGGAAGAACCGTTTAAAGATGAAATTTAAGTGTGTGCTAGTGTTTTAACAACATTCAATATGCCAGTCTATTTTTGATGAAGTTTCATTGGATGGACGGTTTGAAACTTCCCTCTTTCTCAAAGCTTTTCTCCAAAACCTCACCTACAGATTGACACTGCATATAGCTGTGCAATACCTTCGCTTCATACGCCGTTCATACGATGTATTAGTTTAGTGCACCAGATCGATGTGCTAGTACATTTCAGTCAAAGGGTCACACACAACAAATATTTTAAATTGTAGCATTCCATACTCCCTGATTATTAACTTTCTGAGAAAATATTTGAAAAAATGAACTGCTTCAATTCATTAATTCAACAATCTTTCCCTATTCCAGTATTAAAATATGCATATTATACGTAGTGTATGTACTTATGTGGTTTCATTTTCAATAAACGAAGTAAGTACTGGTATGTAGTATATTCGATGAACGCCGGCTCTTTGTGATTATTACATCTTTTCAGCAATCAGCTGTTACCGACAGAATCCACACACACCGTTGACTTTCGGAAAACTTCAAATATAAGTTAAATCATCAACATTTGTTTTTATGTAGGTGGCTCGCATCTCGATGGTCGTAAAGAGTAGAATGTAGTCAGATTGACCCATACGTCAATACCGACTCTATTGCTATACTGAATGGAGACATAACACTGACACATAACACGAACGACAACAATTTGTATATAGCAACCAATATCGATGTGCGATGTGCCAAACAGCAATCAAGTTACAGAAGTTGCTCGCTGGGAAGCCAAATGACAGATATCTCTGGCGAAAGTAAAACAATAGTAATGAATTCAATAAAAGTTGACAGTGTCATCTTGCACAACAGACATTCTAAGTTAATATAAGTTCTTCACATTTATAGACTAAGTCATAAATTATCAAATTACGCCTGTCCGTGATAGCGGACATGATATTAAACGCAACTTGGCAATTTGGTACAGGTCACTTAGATATCCTATATTTATGTGTTATACAGTAGGTAGACGGGGCAATGGGTTACAGGTTACAGAAAATGAAAAATGCATTTTACGTTTTTACAGGAAATAAAAAGGAAAGTTCCAATTACAGTAAAAAATATTTGTTTACACTTTACAGATAAAGCAAATTCCTAATTACATATGACATTTTTATAATATACTTGATAATTTGTATTTAAGAATCAAAATTGAAAATTGCGTACGAATTACGACATTTAATGTTCAAAATGTTTTATACGCGTACAAAAAATAAGATCTTACACCTTGTCTATTTCTACGAATTTACGTTTTTCATTTAATTAAATTACATTATTACGAAAATCAAAACAATTGATTACAGCTTACGAAAATACCCCTTGCCCTCTGGGTAATATTTTGTAATCGTCGTTGCGGGCAGTATATTTTCTTGGGTATAACAATGTTTACTGCTATATGTATGAGGTCGCTCAACGTGACATCAGGATTGGAATTAAGAAACAAAAAAAATTATATAAAACTAAAAACATTTCATTTCTCTGGCCGAAGCAGATGCAACTTTACAGCAGACTCACTTTGAGTGAGACGTGGTGTAACGGAAAGTGCGTCTGCTGCCTGTGACGAGGCGCATTTGGCGAGTTGTGGGCTCGAATCTCGTGTTTATAAGTTCGTATATGTGACTGTAATTTCTATTTGGAAGACGCAGAGAGTGTGTTACTTTATTCCAGATGCTGAACATCGCGATATATTTGAAAAGTTACTGTCACTCGGAAATTAAATTCAATCACACGGTGACTTTGAACCTCATATGATGACATAACTAATTGCAAATATTTTGTAAACCCAAAATCGATCTCTGTATTTATCAAGTTTAGGATAGTTGTTGAGATCTGTAAACCAAGTTTGTTTGTAAATATCATGAATTCTTTGAAAGAATAGTGATAAAAGCTACTAAGTATCTTTCACGCCTTGGTTTAACCAAACAAAACGAAACCGTCACGGCGTGAAAATATTAATTTTGTGACCTGGAAAGCCCAACATTTACGGTTGTTTTCGGCATCTTTATACCTTGCGCAGATCAACGAGTACGAACTGACACGTTTCCAAGCTGTAATTGTCATGTGATTGGAAGGTATCGAAGGAGTCACCGGCGGTAATCAGTGCAAGTCGCGCCCAGATCGAATCTCATACTTGTGATTTCCATTTGAAGAGCGCATTGGATTGTGGGAAATCAATGTTTATCAACACAAATGTCGAACATGCGCAGCGCGACAACTACCGCGCTTTATGTTATTTAAGCCTCATCACGTGACCGGAAGGCATGTCACGAGCATACAATAACATTGACAACCATACTATTTGATAAAATATCTAACAACCAGAATGGTCTTATTTTTCAGATCGTCCGATTGGCTCAGCGTACAATATTTGAACCCGCGACTAGGTGTCTTACTTCCTTTCTAACGCAGGGTTTTACGTCTGAATAATTAGTTGCATTTTCATTAACATCTCTCCCAATAGCAATCAAATTGTTTAGTATATAAACATATTTTATTTACTTTATCTTGAACATTGCAACATCGCTAACCTGCATTTCCTGCCAGTGACACCCTTTTTTGAGCTGTAAAATGACGCCTATATAAATAATTACCAAATACATAAATAAAACAGTATATAAATACAGATTGCTAGATATATTTTCTAATGACATTTCAAAAGGCCAAATGGTTTGTTTACCAAACTCCATTATGTCTAAAATAGCAATATGCAGACACGTATCCGATTTTGGCACCATCGGGATATCATATCTTAAATTTAGTAATCTTAAATTTTTTATTGAGATGCCATAATAATGTGTAAACATTTTATTCGGCCAATTGTTACTCGGTATATCCTTTTATGAATATTTAACGGATTTCTGGGTCATTTCTACACTACTACATTTTATTAGCAACAACTATAAACATCTCTTACATTGTTCTTTGTGCGAGAAGTATAGCTCATTATGCAAATGCAATATACTTCGTGTGTCAAGATTATGCACACGATCACAAAAAGTGTTGATGAGCCAAACATATTGAGCGGTCACACTGCAAGTTCACTCACAAGTCAGCATCGGGATGACAACCTCGCGCGATGAAAGCGTTGTAAATTATATTGGTGGCGACAAACTTTTACTAGAGCGTAGGAACACACCCATGCTGATTACAGTGAGTTTTACGATGACTTCGATTTTATCGCACTAAATAGCTAGTCAGAAAAATGGTTCACCGAAACTATATTTATTCGAAAATGTAGAGTAAACAATGTTGAATCAACAGGATCGCAAAATACAAAAAAAGCAAAATGTAGTTCGAGTCCCTCTCTAAATGTAGTGGCTGAACAGCGCCCTCTAATGCATATTGTGGGATCAGCTCAAACTATTTTTTCTTCTATTTCTACGAAGGATGTACCCCAGACCATTCGTCCCGGTGTTATGCACGAACTAGCGGTTGTCATTTTTTATTTCTGCGCCATTTCACTAATGAATCAAAGGCACACAAACCCTTTAATTCGGATGCGATACGTGTACAGTACAGGTTATAGGATAAACCAGTCATACACAAGATTCAACAATAACCGTCTTATAATGGTTTAACAACTTTGAAAAAAAACATTTACATAAATTCATTTTAATTCATCATAACAAATTAAGCATAACTAAACTTTTTAGAGCATAATTATTCTACAAATAAACACACTAAATAATGCTAATGCAATACTAAAGTAGAATTAATAAAAGCACCGCTCCGGAAGTTGAAAACAAAAAAGTCGCCAGGTTCTGATGGTATTTTAAATCAGATCTTGAAATGTGGCAGCACACATTTTAATGAAGGTATTAAATTATCTTTTTAAATACAATTTTGAAGATTGACATATTCCCACAAATCAGTTGTACCAGAGTAAAGTTAAAATATACTAGCTGACTATAACATACCATACCACCAGAACAATGGGAAACCAGGCCAAGAGTAGTACATTACAAATTACTAAAGCTCTACAAAGATTTCTACAAGTGTGTCATAAATATAAATTCATTTGGAGCAGACTACTACTCTCCAAAAAATTGTGCGTTTCGTCGACTCGGACACTTACTGAAACCAAGATCACAGCAACTGCATGCATAAGTAAATCCAGTCGGTATGAATCAAGGCAAATTACTTTAAAACGTGTCTTTTTCGCAAATTTAGCGAATGAACCGATTCGCTAATTCAAGATGTCGCTAATGACTTTATTATCAATTCAAATTGGCCGCCAAACAAAAAAAAATCAACAAGAGAGATTCGCTGAATCAACATTTCGCTATTACGTCATTTTACCACAATTCGCTAAAATTGCATGCCGCTTTTTCAACACGTTTTTAAATTACAGTATTTGTTCGTTCATTAAAAAATCAAGTTTTTCTATTTAATATGAAATAGTTGTATACCCGGACTTACCTAGATTGTGTTCTTAGGATTACAATGTCCCACAAGATCGATGTGTTGGGAGACATTTATACTTCATGCCACAATAAAAGAATAAATTGCTATCCATGGTACACCAGACTTATAACTGCACAATGAATAGAAGGTTGACACCGGTTATTTCTATCTGGGCTAACTGAAAACTGTTACAACTTGCCACACTATGAACGTTCCGTAACAAAACGAGGTTATACATTGTCTAGTTTGACATTGATGACAGTATAAGATGATACAATATTAAAGTAAAGTGTAAACACTATTTTATTTTTATTTTTTCCAGTATTGGTACAAATTAATGATAATGTTAAGGTAAAAGTAATTACATTCAAACTGCAATAAATACATAATAAATACGAACAGCTAGTTATTTTTTGGTTGTACAAAGTGTAAAATGGAAGACAAGATAGTCAAAAATGTGTGCAGACTGAAACTGTCATCAAAACTTGTATTTTATCAGAAATAAATCAACATAATATATACATAATAACACTTCCTATTGTTTGAAAAGTGACATCGAGTACATAACCCGGTTTCGAGATGCACATACTTTAAAGGAGAGTATAACTAATAAATAAACTATAAATAACTGTATAATTTGGCATCAAAGTTTCTGACAATAAAACTAGCAATACAGCTTGAAAAAAGAAGAAATGTACACCGCCATGACGTAAATACTAAATTGCAACTTAGTTTCAAAAGGCCTTGGGTCATTCATGATTTACATAACGAACTTTCCCGAACAGGAGTATTCAATTTCACTTGCTGGTAAAAAAAAAAATATTTGATTTAATACAAACAATAGTTTTCAGGTGAAATAACTAGTCAAATTACAACTTGTTACTTGCTTCTCACCCCGCCCACGCCCACACTATGCAAAGTGAGAATGTAGTAATTCCAGACCGCATGCACCAATAAGTGAAACGAGATTTGTTATGCATACTATCAACTAAAATCTCAGATAACAATAACAAATATCTGAGACTAAATAGACAATCTTTCAAAAAACGATAATAGTATATCCTAGTGGTATACCAATATCGTAACAGATTCATAGAAGAGTAGTTTAAAGGGGGACACCCGCACTGATGACGCTCATTTGGAACACATTGCGTTTACATGGCGTCAAAATGGAACCGATGAGCTTCCTGACGCTTCTCTTCCTTGTCTTCTCTCTGTAAAAGAAAACACGATGCGAAAATCTAAGTTTTTCCTACACGCAAATACACAAATCTTTAAATTCGATGTAACCGCATATACAAACAGTTCGACACAGATACATCATGCGGCATATAGTCCGTCGTCCTTACCTTTTCGCGCCAATGTAGAATGCCCACAATACCCGCAATGAAAATGCATGTTCCGGCCAGAACACCGGCTGTCATATAAACAATTGGACTCGGTGTCACGATTATCTTACTGTTCCAGCTGAAAAACAAACAAAAACAGTAATTTTAATTGATTTTTTCACTAAAATCTGAAAGTACGAAATTCCAACGCTGTGGAAGGCATCTGGTATTTTTTTTTTTTGCATACAACTATCTAATTCGCGAAGTCATTTGCATAAATGGCGCGAACTTCGTCCAATCAGAGTACTAGTAATTTATGACAGGTTGGATTTAGCCAATAGGAAGTATTTCGTCTTCATAAATGTGGCTATCCGAACGACACATTTTTATTCTCCGCTACAGAACATCGTATAACTTCTTTATTATCTACTCGGCGTGTATTTGAAGTTATCGTCATGGCTCGTACGAAGCAGACTGCACGTAAATCTACCGGAGGCAAAGCCCCAAGAAAGCAGTTGGCAACCAAAGCTGCCCGTAAAAGCGCTCCAGCTACTGGCGGAGTCAAGAAACCTCACAGGTACCGACCTGGTAAGTTTCGTTTAGCATTGTGTAGCGCACGACTATCGGAAATGTTTAACCGATCGCGTAAACTTCTAGTTGTGTCTTCAATTGACATTCCCCTCTTGTTATTCAGGTACTGTAGCCCTTCGAGAGATTCGTCGCTACCAGAAGAGCACAGAGTTGTTGATTCGCAAACTGCCATTTCAGCGACTGATTCGTGAAATTGCTCAAGACTTCAAAACTGATCTAAGATTTCAGAGTTCTGCCGTATTGGCACTGCAAGAAGCAGCCGAAGCCTATTTAGTTGGTCTGTTCGAAGATACCAATCTGTGTGCCATTCACGCCAAGCGAGTTACCATCATGCCCAAAGACATCCAGCTGGCAAGACGAATTCGCGGAGAACGCGCTTAAGTGCTGATGACTTTTTTTAAACTACAATTTTAGCTAGTAGTTCCTATTTTTTTTTTTCCTGGGCAAGTTTTGTTTTCAATCGTCCTAAACTCGTTAATCTGACAGAAGAACAATGAAACTTCTGTAAAACTATTTCAGTTTATCTGAAGATATTTAGTCCATCTATTACAATGGGCAGGTCACCGGGGAAAACATTTTTCGCTCTTATTTAAAATTTTGCCCCCCCCCTAGAGAAAAAAAATGGAATAGAATTGTGCTGAATATGTCTTGTCCTAGCATTCCAGTGATCTCAACAATCGGGCTGGTCCAGAGTATCAATGATCACAACAGATTTACCATATAGTCATTTGCTATTTTTGCCTTGTACTAACTTTTGATGTTACATTTGTTTATGATTTGCAAGAATAATATATTTGTATTAAATTTAATTAAACGAAAAAGCACTAGTCTGTGTTTTTTAAATGAGTGTTCCTCCTACACCACAAGTCCTTGGATTCCTGAATATGTATGCCCTCAACAGTAATACTAACTTGTGCAAAAAAATGTCAAGTATATATTTCATTGCCAAGTTTAGGATAAAGTGCAAGATTGTATACACCTAAAATGTCTTTCTATGAAAAGTTCATCAGCCAGTTCAGAACTCGTCAATGAGAGCACACAAAACATGTTTCAATTTGTTACCCCTACCCACTAAGTCTAGGTGTTAAACCTTAATTTAAGTACTTGTGCTCTTCTGGAATTGTTTTAAAAAACAAAAAAAAAAAGCTAAATAAGTCAAGAAGCTTTATAAATATAAGATAAATTGAATGCAATGGCATTTTTGTTGGATAGATTTGTGAGCGTCAAAAATTATGTAACTTGTCATCTTTAATGACTACTCTAATACATACTTTGCTGGTTCATCTGGTGGATATGGTATTACTATCACTTTCGAGCAGGGGATTATTTGAGTCCAGGTTTGTTGTCTTGAATCCTGTAGAGTAATGAAACATGATTTACTCTAGTTTCATGATGTGTGGCAAGATGGTATAAAATCTACTTTTGCCAGTTTCTGATCAGCCCAGCGTTCTGAAAGATGTAGCATGTTATAAAAGGGTAATGAGCAGGATGTTCAAAGGGGACCCTATGTAATAGTGCAATGCGAGTAATTATGACATGCATATTTATACTTACACCATTGTTAGGTATACCTACAGTAAGGTAATCAATAAAATTGGGTGTTTGTCCCAATCCCATCACCACATAGGGTAGTTGTAAAGAGAAATATGCAGACTGTGACAACTGGACAGCTGTGGAAAGGACAAGATAAATAAAATAACATTCTGATTTATTTTTCAGCATCATAGTATTCTGGATCAAAATGAATATTTTCTGTACTCGTGTAAACTGTGTTGCAGTGTGCCCTCAAGGCCGATATGATGCGTCACTGATTTCTTAAGATGCAAACAATTGTACTTATTTCCTGACACGCCAATGACATAACATCCTACTATAGTTATGGAATTTTTAATTTGGTAATATGAAATCTACATTTCATGAACAAAATAAGTTTCTCCCCAGTCACAAAGCTGATCCAATTTAATTTTTACAATTTCATTTTGACTCAATATCCCTACAAAATCTGTCCTGTTAAGAGGGCACAAAGATTTGTATTGTTTGAACTCGTGCCATTTTCTACTAGCTTCAACAGGTTATGAATTTGGTCATGGTAATATGATCATTATTTCTTTGATTGCGACACTGGATGCTAATTTCGCCTTCACATGTATAGATCCTTGTATAGATCACCTTAGACTAGCCCAGTTATAATTTATTAATTCATTTCCTTAAATCGCAGTCTGACTGGTCTATTCTGCAGCATATCTATTTCCATTACTTATTCATGATATGTAGTGTATGGGACCAGGAAGTGAAACAAATCCAATACAGGAAAGTAGGCGTGTGTTTTAGCCAAAGGTTTTACGTGTCAGGCCACATATGCATAGAACAGGTCAGATCAAAAGCTGTCATTCTTATTGGCTGGCAGCTTACAAGTCCTGCTACTCATTAGCATATTTATCGCCACAAAAACATGGTGACAACTATAGAGGGCGCAGCATAACAGACCAGTCATTGTAATTTCGCATCAACGCAGGAGGATTCTACAAACTCGTTCTAAAGGAATTATCGTATAAAACAATAAAATTGCCATGACTGGGTCAGTCTAAGATCACTTCCATGAGGAGAAGAACTTTTCCAGACCCTTGTTCAGTTCAAATATGGTTCATAATCAGTGGTTTGTCTAGGCCTCATATGTGTTCAGCATACTGAGTGGCCTCTTGACAGTGAGTGATATTTCATTGTCTGATCAACTTTGTTAATGTTTGTTCAATAGAATTTGCTTGACGAAAATAACAAAATAGCAATAGCGGGAAAATGAGTATAAATGAAACACTGATTCAGATGATACCAAGATACGATCAAAGTACCAGTAACTACCGGTAGACAGGCGTATTTAGGATGTGTTATAATTATTGAATCTTCTAGAAAAGAAAACTCCAATGAATGCTGACATTTTATAGAGTCTTCGCACCTGCTGAGAACCGCTGCTTTCCATCCGGGTCAGTGGTCTGGTAGTTGATCATAGGACCAGGCTGATTCACACCATATGGCTACAAGGAATTAGTAAATTATATTTGTATACAACATATGATATTTTTAACACTGATAGTGAAGACATCATGGCTAAACAAAATAATTGTAGAAGAAATGTCCTATAAAACAATTTACGCTCATTTGAATTTATTAGTATTTTTCATGAAGTAGCCACCAAAAACACATTTTCACTGTAACCTAATTCATTATGGAATACTGGAAATAATGTAAATGGTAAAAAATATGATGCATTTTTTATCACAAACTAATCAAAGTTATCGGTTCAAGAGGGTCAGTAAATAAGTTCCTTTTTCATTGAGATAGATTTATTATTTTTAATTTAAAAATATGTATTTGTATAAAAAATACACTTGTGACTGTAGACTGTTACTTTACCTCTACTTCACCTGGACAATTATAAAAACATAAACCACTAAGAACTGAAAATAACAAAAAGATTTCTCGTATCAGTAAGCTATTCAATGTGCACATGTATCTTCAATAAATAACGTGAATGGCTCTACAGATTGGTATTCGATTTTTAAAATATCTGATATCACTCCTGCCTTCAGGTCCATATTTATTTTTCTCTCTGTCTCATGTATTGTTGTGTCATGTGTTTGTTGGTTAATACATACTATAAATGAATTATTTGTTAGTTGTTTGTTTTGTGTTCTTGAACTTGAACATTCTCTTCCCGAATTATATGGATATTTTTTCTACTGTCTTTCCAGCACAAACACAGCAGAAGTGGCAAGCATGTTAAAACATCACAAAATGATTAGCTAATAATTTTTATGCAAATTAATTTTGACAAAAAGAGTTAATTGACGAAAGATATGGATTTTGATGTTATCTTGATTTTCTACATTTTACATCAACACTCAATTGTATAAAATGCAATCCTACGAACACAAAGCATACTAATACGAAATCAGACAATTTTTAAGTGACAAAAAGAGCTATTTTGTGCTTGAAGGTACAATATACATATGATTACCTAAGACTTTAACAAAACATGCGTCTTCATTTAAGAAATTCTCCAGAGCATGGATCATGGGTTTATCATCAACCATAGTTGTCACCAGAAGATCCAAAACTCCCTGAAAATTACAAATAATCAATGCAGTAGTCATTATAAACACTCAGTTGCTTGTAGCAAATATCGATTAAATGTTATAAGACGATTTTGAAAATATTTTGCAGTATATTTTTCCTAAATTCCATTCACTTTGATCTTTCAAAACGTTACCCAGGTAGGTAGTCCTGTGACAGACTTCAAGCTGGGTGAAGCACTGTCTGTGTGAGTAGGAAAACCCAATATTGCACCAATACAAAAAAACATGAGCAAATAAGAAAATTAAAAAAACACAACAGAACCAAATCTTCATCAGAAAATGAAAATACAACATTTGACTCACGTCTTCATAGAAGTCAAAGAATGATGCAACTACGGGCTCCTCTAGGTCCATAACTCCAGGATAAATATCCACTATGAATGTTCTATAATCTTTGCTGCAAATATCCGGATTGTTCGATTCGCATAGAATGTTATGTAATAGAATCAACTGTCTAGTAGTTTCGCTGAAGAGACATGGGGGGAAAAAACATAATGTTTATCATTCTGGCATTCATCATTGGTCTGAATTATCTAGTGAAACAAGTCATGCATGGCACAGTCCCTGTTAGTTAACAAATTTGAGATATATAGCTTTGTTTTGTTTTTGAATCAGATTGTCAAACCAATAAATCTGTATATCTATGACATGATGTAAATGAAGATATTAAATTTGAACATAAGATATATGGCTCTAGAACCACATTCATTAAAACAAAATGGCTGCCAGTTGGCCATTTTGAATCTGATCTGAAAAATAAAATGGCATGCATCAAGTTTTTATAATTTCCAATGTATGTATCAGGTTTTAACAAAATCCATCTGTAAATATCCAAGATCTGGTTTCGCCAGAGATGCTTGATTTTGATCATTTTTCAGCACAAAAAAGGCCATTGTACATCAAAATAAAATGATTTAATGAAGTTTTAATGAAATCTGTTGAATTGAATTGTGAAACAAATATATATGTGCATATGTGTATGACATGAGGTATTAGTTTGAACATGATTGGTTGATAAATGTCTACAATGCTATGTTTTTAATTATTAGAGGACGCTTATGTGCATAATCATTATTAGACTTCACATTTCCTTATATGGTAGGATGAAAATACCCTGTAAAATATCGCAAAATTATGGCACGCTGTAACTTATGGCGTTACAGTGACAGATGTATAATAATGTGTGATATGGAACTTACCCATGACTAGTATTTTGAAGTATTGCCAGTGCATCCGGAAAGCCATCCATTGTATAATCTCCAATATTAAGCATTATTGGTATATTGGATATAGTCAGTGGATTATCCGCTGGTGGTATAAATCCCCAACCCATGGAACCAAAAGTGAATCCATTCAACAATAACCTCCACTGAAACAATAGCAACATTATATTGTACTCATTTTAGTTGGAATTTAGTAGTTACCTTAGTTTCATCATCATATATTGCATAAATAGCATTCTTAGAATTATGGGAATTTAGTAGTTACTTTAGTCTCATCGTCATAATTTGCATAAATAACACTCTTAGAATTATGAGAA